TATGACCGAGTAACTCCACTTCTAGGAATTTACCCAAAGAAAGCAAGATCTCAGATTCAAAAAGACACATGCACCCCTATGTTTATTGCAGCACTATTTACAGTAGCCAAGATATGGAAGCAACCTAAGTGTCCATCAGTAGATGAAAGGATAAAAAAGTTTGGTATATAAACACAATGGAATACTATTCAGCCATGAGAAAACAAATCCTACCATTCACAACATGGATATAGCTAGAGTATTATGCTCAGTGAAATAAGCCAGGCAGAGAAAGACAGGTACATGATTTCCCTCATTTGTGGAGATTAACAACAAAGTGAAACTGAAGGAACAAAACAGCAGCAGACTCACAGACTCTAAGAAGGGACTAGCAGTTACCAGAGGGGAGGGGAGGAGAGGGGGAGGATGGGTGGGAAGGGAGGAAGAAGGGGCTTGAGGGGTATTGTGATTGGTACAAATGGTGTGGGGGCATCACAGGGAAGACACTGTGGCACAGAGTAGACAAGTAGTGACTGTGGCATCTTACTATGCTGATGGTGACTTCAATGGGTTATGGTGGGGACTTGATAATATGGGTCAATGTAGTAACCACAATGTTTTTCAGTGTGAAACCTTCATAGAAGTGTATATCAATGATTCCTTAATAAAAAAAAATGTGTTATACACTAAAAAAAAAACCACTAAGCACATTGCACAGAATTTCAGGAGAGTATACAGCATATAAAAAAGTTAAGGGATTAGAAAACAGAATGTTAACTTTCAGTCTAATAAGAGGACTGGTATCTGCCCACCTAGTACTGATCATTACTCCTAGAGAATTTGGCAGACACCACCTCAACCAAGTGATCAGAATTAGCGACACAAATTGTCAGTGTGTCTCCTTTTGTTGTTTCATTATTTTTGCCTAGATTTACTTAGGTATTATTGACACAAAACGTAAGTAGGCTTAAAGTGTACAATGTTATAATTAGACCCAAATATATTGAAAAATTGTTCCTAAAATAAGGTTAACACCTTTAACCCCTCACATAATTATGATGTGTGTGTGTGGTGATAATATATAAGACCTTTCTTAATAACCCCCAAGTATATACACAGTATTGTTAATTATAGTCATGATGCTATACATTAAATAAATGGCTCTTATTTGTCTTACAGCTGGGAGTTTGTTCCATTTGACCAACTACAAATTTCTCCCTCATCCAAGACCCAGCAATCAACATTTTATGCTCTATTTCTATAAGTTCAGCTTCTTTAGACTCCATATAATAAAAAGAGTACTATTCTTTTTACGTCTCACTTATTTCACTCAGTATAATGCCTCCGAGGTCTAGCCAAATTATTGAGAAAGGCAAAATTTCCTTTTCTAGAACTTCGTAACATTTCATTACATATATATATTATATACATATTTTACATAAAGTCACATTTTCCCATTATTCACTGAAGGACACTTAGGATTTCCATTATCTAGATGTTTCCACATCTTTCTTGGTTACTGGAGTACTTCTGAAATGAATATAATTGCATTTCCTTCAGGTATATATGCTGAAGTGGGATTGATGAATCATATGGTAGTTTTACTTTTTGAGTGACGTCCACACTGTCTTATACTGGCTATGCCAATTTACATTCCCATCCAAGGTGCACAAGGGTTCCCTTTTCTCCACACATCCTTGCCAACACTTAGTGTCTTATTTTATTGGTAATAGTCCTCTAATAGACCATAAAGTGATACCTCATTTTATTTGCATTTTGTTGAGGGTATCTATTCAGCTCATGTACCCATTTTTAAACCATTTTTTGTTTGTTTAGTTTTTGCTATTATATTGCATGTATGTATTTTGGGTATTAATTCCTTGTCAGGTAGACGTTCTGCAAATATTTTTTCCCTTTCCATGCATTGCTTTTTGTTTTACTGTTTCTCTGCTCTGCAGAAGCACTGTAGTTCAGGGTAGTCCTACTTATTTTTGCCTTGATGCTTATGCTTTTGGTGTCATATCCAAAACTTTGCCACGACCAATGTCAAGGCGGCTCTTGGGTCTGCTTTCTAGGAGTGTTATGGTATCAGATCTTACGTGTAAGTCTAAGTTTTTGTGAGTGTTGTAAAATAGGGGACCATTGTATTTTTATTCATGTAGTTATCCACTTTCCCCACTACTGTTAATTGAAGAGGATACCATTTTTCATTTCATCTTCTTGGCTCCCTTGATGAATATTACTTGATAAGTGTACTAATTTCTGGGTAGCCAATATGTTCCATTGATCTATGTATCTATTTTTATGCCAGTACTATACTATTTTGATTACTGCAGTTTTATAATAATGCTTGAAATGAGAGAGTGAGAGCTTTCAACTTTGTCCCTCTTTTCAAGGCTGCTTTTCCTACCTAGTCAGAGTATTTTTTTATTTCATACTGATTTATGAGTTTCTATTTCTGTGAAAAATGGCATTATAATTTTGATAGAGATTAAACTGAATCTGTAAGATGGTTTGGTGTAGTATAGTGTATTAACAATAGTAATTCTTATAATCTGTGGATGTATTTCCTTTACATGTATTTGCATCCAGTCCTCCTCCCAGTCTACTTTCTCTACAGTCTACACTTAGCAGAGTGATCAAGGTAAGTATAGCATGACATGCTTCTCTCCTACTCAGAACCACCTGTGTCTTTCCTCTCACTCACAGTAAAAATTACCAGCTTCACATGAAGTGCAGTACTCCTGATCATGAAGTCTTTTTGTTCACTCATATTCTAGTCTGTTTCCCTGCTCCCCCGGAGCTGCAGTAGATTGCCAAGCTCACCTGTCACACCCCCGCTTGTGCTCTTAACTGACCTGCTGTTAGGGGCCCTCCCTTTGGGACTGCACTGTATTCTCTTCCTCCAGTCTCTCTGCAAGGCCTCCACCTCCGGGCGAGAGGCAGTACATTCTCGCTCACCTTTGGACTTTGACTCACTGCACTGCTTCTAATGACGTATTGCAGTCTACTGAGTCTGACCCATAGTAGGCACTCAATAAATGACTGAAACATTGGATGCTAGATTAACTGGAGTCCTGTCACAGATATGTAAGCCACTAACAAACTTAAAAGAGGGCATGCTGATTGCACTAATAATTGAGTGAGATTTAGTATAGGCTGATACTAAGCAAGTTAATGGAGAAAACAATAACACTGTGTTCCCTTTGGAATAAAACAGCTTGATAAATTACAACTCTTGGACTACGGTTAAACACACAAGAGCAGGAGAGGTAAAATGGTCAAGCTCTTCAGGTCTCCTGTTTCTTTTGACTGAGGTATTGATGAAGCCAGAGTTGAGAATCATACAACTTTTCAGAGTAATCAACATAGGTAATCATCTCTATTGAACTGAGATGATGTGTATCCTTCTGTCCTTGTGATAGCAGTTAATTTCACTAGAAAAAAGCTTAAGTAAACAACTGGCACTTTTATGTATCAGGATTTGGAGGTATACTATTAAATAATTTTTTGGAAAAATTATTTTAAATCTAAAATATTTTAGATTTAATTTTTTATTTTATATTTGAGAAAAAACAGTAGTTAAAATACTCATTTTACAAGAATGAACACTAAAAGAATATCTAGAGGGATCAGTTTATTCTGTGGTACACAAGTTGTTGAATTAACAACATCAGGTTTTTTGAGGTGAGTTTCAGTGGGAGAAAATACTATTTTTCTTTAAGGTGCTCCACTGATTTATGATTTTTAGTGCTTTTATTATAGTATACGATTCATATCTATTAGTGCTACATTTAGCATTTAGATACTAAGGTGAAAGTATATTAAATGTTAAATGAAATTAAATGGGCAAAGGATCTGAACAGACACTTTTCCAAAGAAATTCAGATGGCCAACGGCACATGAGAAGATGCTCCACACATTGCTAATCATCAGAGAAATGCAAATTAAAACCACAATGAGATATCACCTCACACCAGTTAGGATGGCCACCATCCAACAAATTTTGGTGAGGATGTGGAGAAAGAGGAACCCTCCTACACTGCTGGCGGAAATGTAAATTATTTCAACCATTGTGGAAAGCAGTATGGAAGTTCCTCAAAAAACTCAAAATAGAAATACCATTTGATCCAGGAATTCCACTCCTAGGAATTTACCCTAAGAATGCAGGAGCCCAGTTTGAAAAAGACATATGCACCCCTATGTTTTTCGCAGTACTATTTACAATAGCCAAGAAATGGAAGCAACCTAAGTGTCCATCAGGAGATGGATAAAGAAGATGTGATACATATACACAACGGAATATTATTCATCCATAAGAAGAAAACAAATCCTACCATCTGCAACAACATGGATGGAGCTAGAGGGTATTATGCTCAGTGAAATATGCCAGGCGGAGAAAGACAAGTACCAAATGATTTCACTCATCTGTGGAGTATGAGAACAAAGAAAAAACTGAAGGAACAAAATAGCAGCAGAATCACAGAACCCAAGAATGGACTAACAGTTACCAAAGGGAAATGGACTGGGGAGGATGGGTGAGGAGGGAGGGATAAGGGGAAGAAGAGGCATTCTGATTAGCACACATAATGTAGGGAGTGGGGCATGGGGAAGGCAGTACAGCACAGAGAAGACAAGTAGTGACTCTAAGGCATCTTACTACGCTGATGGACAGTGACTGTAATGCGGTGTATGAGATGGGGACTTGATATTAGGGGGAGTCTACTAACCACAATGTTGTTCATGTAATTCTATATTAAATGATAACAAAAAAAAAAGGTAAATGAAAAATGAAAAACCCCTTTGAATTATATATTAATTTGTTTACTTTTTGAAAATAATAGTCACAGGGCCTGCTTTTTCCTATTTCACTATAAATGTTACACATTTACAAACTGAAGCAAAAATGGATAGTACAGAGATTTAAATGAAATCTTTTAAAGAATAAAATCTTTTCTGTCCATTGTATTTTCAAAGTTGATTATCATCAAGCCAGGATGAAAATTGTGAACCACAAACCATTCTTTAATAGAAAAAAGAATGTTTAGATTATTAGCAAAGTAGTATCCTAAAATGTACCTTCACACAGTTGAAATTTTAGTATAAACTCGTATTTCAAGTTCCACTCCATCATTTATTCTACTTTAAAAATATATACAGCTAATGATGTTTAAATACGTATTCTGAGCCACATGTCCAAACATAAATATTTGGGAAATACAAACTGTTGCAACAAGTTATGAAAGGATTATAGAAAAAACATGGGCTACAAATTACACAGTAGGAAGAAGAAAAAAAGTTCCTACTTAACATTTATGTCTGGGTAGGTATTTTCTAGTTTATATATACATACCCAATTGAGTATAAACAGGTTTTGGTAGGCACAGATTAGTAACTACATTATCTGTGCCAAACAGCACACTGATGATATCTGATTCTGCTTAATTATGGTATAAGTATCTAAACACAACAGAGCAGGCAGGCAACCAGAAGAGACATTTAAGATATGCCATGCTTATCAATCACATTAACATTAGTGTTTAAAATTTTCAAATCTAAGGAGAGAGGGATACTTATCAAGTTGCAGGAAACTCCAATACAATAACTCAAATAGCTAAATCTGCAAAAATCTTAAACTTCAGTTCTTAATCCACTGATATTGTTTAAGGAGTAGTTACTTGGTTTCTGAAAATTTTTGAATTGAAAGGTTGAAAAATGTTCATCCCTTGCTGTACTGTAGCATTTGAAATTAGCCAGCATGACAACCTTGACTTGGCTCTTACATGCAGAGGTGTATATATGCATTTTAAAACAGCTTAGAATTAAGAGTTCACTTCTAGTCAGTAATGGAAAGTGACTAGAATAGCTACCCAATCAATCTTCTATGGCACCACAAATCAAAGTCTCTACAATATGACAGTCTCGTTCAGCACTCATCACTTTTGAGGAGGTGTGGCAAAAGCAGTTGTAATTTTTTAAATAGCAGGAAACCTTTAAACACCCATACAATTTTGCATCATCTTGTATTCTATTCTAGAATACTTGAAACAAAATCTTTTTTCAACCAGCTCAATCTATACAAGTTATAAAATACACATTCTAAACCCTATAGTGTATAGAATGCGCACTACTCAATACTCATTAACTGCAGTATAATCCATGAAGATTAAAGAAACACACAGAAAGCATTCTAAATTTTCAAATTGTCTTAGGGCTGCTAACTAGAAATTGTACAAATTACAAGTGCAAGACAATAACAAAAAAACAAAGAAACCTCAGTGCATCACACTCATCAGGATAAAATATATGGCACTTTTACAATACTACTATCACAACTGCCAATTTATACGCGAACAATTCAGAGACATTAAAGCCATACAAGGGCAAAAACCAGCATGAAACAGATCACCTTTTTTCTTTGTAAAAGCACTGAAAATGTAATGTGTGCAGATGACGCACTAATAATTTTCTCATTTGTCCCCCACTGTTGTGTCATAAATTATTCTATAAGTAGTCTACCTCTCATAAGATCTGATTTTTAAGGCCTGTATTAACTCTATGTTACTGAAACATACTATTTTCTGTGTGATAAGAATGTCTTTATGGAAAAAAAACACATCTGGTTATAAATCATAGAATAAACCCAGAAAACAAAAATTCCGACCTGTTCCAAGCTAGTGAGAAATAAATTACATCATAATGTGTCAATTTAAAACTTTATCAATGTTAACAAACATTTCTATGGTACATTTTTCCCCCCATAAAATTAAACAGTGCAGAATAGGGCTTGGGCTACAGTTAATCACATTTGGTTTTCTGAAAAACAAAACTTTATTTACTACACACAATTAAAAGGCAACTTTCTTCCTCCACAACATAGACAGACATTAAATTGAAGGCTTTTAAAATATCCACTATAAGAAAAGTACTTTTAATGGCTAAAAGAAATCAAAATACCAAAGTTTAGTGTGTGAAGTGTAGATATAAACGACCAAGAAAACAGTACATCACTGGCGTTGAATATTTAACATGAATAGCCCAAAATAAGTTCCAAAGTTTTTCTACCTTTACAAATAAAAAAAGGTGTCCTTACCACAGCTTGGGGATATATGTGTCGTAAATACCCCCCAACAAGTGTATGAGTAAAGTTTTTAAAATGTTGCTAATATTAAGTTCTTCAGTACCTAAATTTAATTAGAGGACAGCAATATTACGGTGGCATTGGTGCATCGACTCTCAAAGTGTAGTTATGATCCAACACGAGTTGTGGTGGTTCTTTTATCTGAGAAAAAGCTTTTCAGAAGAAATACCTGCCCTATGCTAACAACCAGAAGAATGAGGGCTTCTCCTACTGACCAATAGGCCACTCTTGTGTTTAGATCCTCTGCTCGGCTTCGGCCTTGAGCTTCCCTCAAACGGAAATGAGTCTGATAGTCAATGACAGACTTCAGAGCTTCGTGAATTGAAACACAGGCAGATTCCATCTAAAGAGAAATATTTCCAGTTAGTGTGTTTAATACTTTCTGTACAACCCATCTAGCATATTCATTTTTCTTCCAATTTCATATCAGTTCCTCATTTGCAAGTTCTCTAAACTGGCACTCATTTATTTGCTCACTTAATTATGCCAGTGGTCCTGGCCACGCAGCCTGTCGACTCATGTGCACTGGGACTGCTGGTGAGGCTGGAGATCCCCTATTCCTGCCCCAAACTGGGTGTCTCAGTGTGGCATCTGTAAGGTGGAAGTTGGCACACGGAGCTAGCAGTAGCAGAAATACTCATCAGTTAAGGTCGGTGGCCACAGAATTTCAAGCCCAAGCTCCTCAAAGAGGAAGAATTAGAAGGAAGAGAATGGCAATTCAGTAAATCTAAACAATAATAGTAATATAAATCAAAGTCCAAACACATACATAAAATAAATCAAATATGGCATAAAAATAGATTTAGTCAGTTATGTTAGCTATTTTAAAAACAGCTGAATCTGAAAGGGCTAGGTCAACCAGGAATGTCTTTTTTCTTTTTTTGGATTTACCAATTTGCTTGGCAATAAATCTCCCTCATGCCAGTCAACCAATAAACCAATATACATGTTCTCAATGGGATGTAAGTTTCAGTTTCACCACGTAATCCATTTGTGAGCCTTCATCTGATAACATTTTACCTTTTATAAATTAATTATATCATCTACTTTAGACACATTAAGTGTCTAATTTTTTTTTGTATGCCAGAGTTTAGTATTTTTCTAGTGCTTAAAACTTAATCCTAGGATGAAATACATGCTTCATTATTATATCATACTTACATCACAAACCATGTATGAAGAATTTTAAAAACGAATCTTTTTTTTCATCCTAAGGAAAAGGAATTGCCTCCATAAATTGTACACTCCCATACTAGGAATAATATTTTTATGATATGGGGGTCATTCAGTGCAGGAAGCAGGAGGAGGAAGATGGTGAACATTTCTACTTTCTTGTATTCCGGAAAATTCACCAATAATGACATTTATTTTAGCAATCACCCAACTTCCCTTTGTGCTCTTCTTTCTCCTTTGGGATCCTAAAATCCTCAAGCTAAGTCAGTCACTGTAACACCTCTATGTCACAAATTATTTGGACCCATCTCTCCAAATGAATATTTAAGGACTACTTAAAGCCTGACAACAGAGTATGAGTTAAAAACTGCCAGAATAGATAAAAATCACAGAAATTAAGGGACTACTTGCAAGGATTCATACAAATTTTTGAGATGGTGGTGTTTCCTTTTTTTTTCTTTCTACTTTTAAAGTGGAAATGTTCATACATATTCAAAAGTACAGACAATAGTATAATGAACCCCCACGTCAATAATTATTAACACATAGCTAATTTTGTTTCATCTATATTCCCCACCTATTTTCTTCTCCACTCCAATTATTTTAAAGCAAATCCCAGATAGTTTATCATTTCAGCTATATTTTTATACTTTATATTATTTCTATAAGGTAATACTTAAAAAATATAACCACTTATAAAATAACTTAAAATAGTTCTTTAAAATTATTGAATAAAAAGTGTTCAAATTTCCCCAAATGTTTCAAAACTTGTTTCCAAATCAGAATTCAAACAAGGTCAACATAATCATTTGTCTTTTAAATTCTTTAATCTGTAAGTTCTCTTCCTTCCTTTTTCCCTCCCATCCATTTGCTGAAGAAACTGGGTCCTCTGCCCTGTAGCATATTCTACTTCCTGGATGTTGCTATTGTATTCCCCTGGCCTTCCTCTAGCTTCTGTATTTCTTAAAAACTGGTAGTTGTAACTAGAGTCTTGATGGGATGCAGGAGTAATGGTCTGGGTGGGAACAGCACATAGGCACTGTTGTATACTTTATTATTGCATATTATTAGAAGACAATGTCTAGTTCTTTCTCCATTTGTGAATCATCATTAGATTTAGGTGCCAGGAGCCTGATCCATCCATTACAAAGCTCCCCATTAGCCTTTCACTAATGGTTTCAGCAATGACTGTGATCACTACTTACTCTAGATCCATCACTTTATTAATGGTTAAAAAAAATGGTGATTTAGTAAAACTCTATCTTTTATTCTGTATTGGCTAGCTTAGAATTTTTTTTCAATTCAGAAGCATGAACAGCTGCTTTGTAACTATCCCTCTTGTATGAGAGACCTATCAGCTTTTTGAAAGTAGAAAAATAAAGATTTTTAAATGTGATATGAATAAAGGAGGTTAACTGGTATTAATTGCTTTATTACCACTCATGTTTTACACTTATCTAAGTTTTTAGAGCAAGACAACCTCTTCTGCTAGTTAAAATTCATAAAGGTTAAGTTATAAACAATGGCCCCAAAGAAAAATGTTTTTATAAAACAAAGTGCTGTTCACACAGGATGCTAAAATGAAGAGAACATTTCTAAAAATAAGAGCATCTGAATACATCTTGTTACTGTTTACAATAAGTAAGTTATAAAATAAGGCTCTTACACACTCTTAAATAAAACCGAGTTTATCACCGCATGACTAGCCAAGGGAACTAACTAGAACCTGGGAACAATGAATTACCAGTTTAAGGTTTTAACAAATAGGTGGTAAATAATTCCTTTGTATACCTAACTGGGTATCGCTGAGTTATAATCTACACTCATACTGTATTTAAATTAGAAATTACACAGCCTCATCAACTGAGCGCCATGCCATCTGTGAGCACTATCTGTTCCTTGACTTCAAATTTCTTTCTGTGTTTCTCTCATTAAACTCTTCTCAAATGAAACCCAATTTAGCTTAGCCGTTTCTGCTTACCATTCTTTAATATGTTACCTTAAGTTACATCACACGCTAGCCCAACAGCAGCTTGAGCAACAGTGAATACTGGCACAAAACTACCTTATGGTGTTTTACACATTAACCAGGGCATCATTTTGCTTCCAGTCATACTAACCTGCTAAATTATGGTAGTAACATTCCTCCATGAATTACAGAAAATGCTCCAGAAGACTGGAGCATTTGTTAGCCTTACTGAATTTCCTTCACCATTGATGTTTCTACTTTTCTTTACACTTACAAGTTCATAATATCCTCTAACATTGGTCTTCACTAAAGTCTAAAATTCTCTGTGAAATGCCTAACATAAGAATTAAGATAGGTCTTAAAAGATTGTGTTGGAGTCTCAAAATTCTGTGTTTATCAATGAGTTAATACATATCAAATTAGTTTCTTCCACCTTTAAACATACCAACAACATTCCAATGCTGATATTTTATTTACCTGGGTAAGAGCACTGACTCGGTTCTCACTAGGAAACAACGGTGGGTCTTCTCCAACTTGAAAATCAAAATACACAGTTTTATGTGTGAAAGTAGAAAATTCATTACTGAAGCAAAATTTGTATGTCCCATTTTTGGAGGCTGTGAAGGTAAAGCTATCATACTGTTTCTTCATCTCTTTGTATAACACGGTACCATCAGGATCTTCTAACCGACAATCTACATCATAGTGACCACCAGTAATAACCTATAACGAGAAAAAAAGGGGTCATTGCAACTAATAAGTCTGATAAATTAACCAGGTTTCCCATTACAATGGCAACAAGGCTATATAGGCAAAGGTCTTTTATTATCACAAGCAATTCCACATTATTTGTTGTCTAGTTGTTCCACAGTGGATGGAACTTGGGAGATTTCAGTTCAACTAAAGCTTTACAGAAACTGAACGAATTTCCTTATGACAGGGGAAATGGAACTAGCTACCTAGCCAGACAACTATTCTAGTTAATGCAGGTCCCTTACATCACTTAATTGCCCAACAACCCTACAGGAAAGAGTTTTCACTGTCCATTTGACAAACTGAGAAGCTGAGTTAAGCAACCTACCCAAGATTATAGTTGACCCTTGGTAAACACAGCATGTTGGGGGCACTAACCTTCCTCACCAAGTCAGAAGTCTGAGTATGACTTTTAACTCCCCCAAAACTTAATAGCCTACTGTTGACTGGAAGCCTACTGATAACATGAACAGTTGATCATGCATATTTTGTGTATGTATTATGTAATGCTTTCTTACAATAAAGAAAGCTAGAAAAAATAGTTTTTCAAACTGTTTAAAATGTTAAAAAATATTTCTAATATATTTATTGAAGAAAATCCACATCCACTGGACCCACACAACTCAAACTCCTACTGTTCAAGGATCAACTGTATTCATCTAGTAAGAGGCAGAGCAGAACTTGAATTCCAACGTCATACTCTTGACCCTTAAGCTTACTGCCATGTAATACCGTCCTTCCCTGATTTTCTGGGCCAGTTCCTATTAGCATCATCGAGACACGCACATGAACAGCGCACTGTAGTAGTAAAGTGGATCGGTCCTTAGCACAACACCCCAAGTATATTTCTATCGTACAAACTAAGTTGATTTTTCTGCCACATTACAAATGAGTTGTGTTTCTTAAGTTCCTTTATAAGTCAGTTAAATGGAATTTCAGATATTCTGTTTTGAACTACATTATGAACTGAACAGACTTGTGGGCTGTTCTAAGAATATATCATCATTTACAAACTCGTTTCCAAGAGAACCATAAATGATTAAGTCATATTGTTTATATATTTGTGATTAAGACAAAAAGAGAACAACACAAAATGCAAACAGATCTTTTATCTGGTAGCTTGTATTTAAGGACAAGCATTTTGAAAGGAAAGCCAGGTGTAGATGAAATGCTGCTTAAGAGGATTTCAGAGCTATTTTCAACTTAATCAGTCACAATTTGGGCCATTTGGGTTGTAAAAGAGAGGAAAGAGCGAGTTTTCCTGAGTTAATTGGACAAGCATAGTAAAAGAGAAAAGGGGAAATTGATTAAAGAGATAGGCCTCCTTATGAGAAAAAACTGAATGGGAAGAAAGAGGGAGAGGAGACAAGAGAAGAAACCTTGAGAAATAAGTGATGAAGAGGGTTCCCAACCATGAGACTGGGTGGCACAAGCCTGCATTTTCAAGCCTGGACCCTGTTGGTCGGCAGTGTTCACATTCTAATTCTGTAGCACAAAGAGATTAAACTTTGATCTTCGAGAAAGGAGTGGTTACTGATGTGACCTTTAGTCACTTAGAGATATGATTAATAACTGAACTATGTCACAGATCATTTTGGTAATTAGGTGAAGTATTACACACTTAGGAAGCTGTAAGGAACATAGGAATATGTAAATATTAATATACAGAAATAATGCTTTGACGTAAAAATGGTGTCTTATCAATTGGGCATTTGCTCCTCTCCCCAAAAGTCAACAACCTTTCTTCCAGATGAACACAATGACTTCATTCTTAAGTACCCATTATTTGTATGTAACCATTGTTCTCGGAGTAATCAAATACATGTACAAACTCAACAGGACCAGAACTGATCATCATGCCAATTTTCCTCCATCAAACATTAAAACAAATACTCTTATTTCAGGTAAAGGTACTCCTTTACAAAAAAAAAGTACCCCTGTCTGTTCATGTAAACAGAAACTGGGAATCATCACAAATTCAGTGTCCCTACCTGTCCAGTTAATCACAGCAATCTCTTGATTTATTGCCTCTCTCTGATCCACCCCTCTCTTCTATTCCTAATCCATAAACCAGACAGGACCATTGCCACAGTTTCCTAAAAGGTCTTCCCACATCCCAACCTCTCCTCCCTCTAATTCGCAGTTTCACCTCCACTAGGCATTCTGGGCTGGGTAATTCTTTGTTGGCGGGGCTGTGCTGCCCTGTGCATTGTAGTGCACTGGGCAGCATCTCTGGTCTCCACCCACAAGAGCCCAGTAGCATCTCCACCCCACGTCTCCTAGGGGTGTGAGAGCAAGGGCACCACTTCCCCATCCTTTCTTATATCCCATTCACTTAAAACCTTTTGACAATTCCTGTGGCCTATAGAAAAATGCAAACCTGTTAATAATAGCATACCACTCCCATGTCTCAAGGAAGCCTCAGCACCTCTTTTAAACCCTTTCTCATTCTGTGTTCCCAAAATACCAGACTACCAGAAATCCTCATAGCAGGTCTTTGCTTTACCTCTGCACTAACAGTGGCAAGTTAAACAGGCTGTTTGCTAAAGAAGAATTACAGGACTCAAAGTGACAATGCTTACAAATCTACACTTCATTACAGGAAAAAGAATATAAAACATCACTGCCAAAAGCCGTCTCAAAGCAAAGATCAGGAGAGGTAAGGAGTGGGCTCCTCTGTCCTCTAAGGACTGTGGCCAGACTTACACTCTGTCTCAAATCAAGAACCACTTCAGTCTGTAAGAACACCTTGGGCCCAACATAAGAGTCTTGGCTGGGTTTTTCTATTTCCTGGTCACACAGGCAGGCATATTCCTGCTATGTAACCACTCTCAAGAGCAGGGATTCTGAGGGTTTCACCCAAATCAGGTGCAAACCACAAATCTCACTGTCACCAATAAACAATGTTGACAAAACTGGTACAAACCACTCTGAAAGCCCTCCCACCCAGTTATAAAGCAACAGTAGCCCTCAGTGTATTTCAGTGCCACCTCAGGCTCACTTCAGGAATTAAGTCTCACAAATACAACACATCTGCCTGGGATATCCTTTCCCCCTCTGCCACCTTGTAGAGTAACTCCTATTTCTCCTCTAGACTCAGATCAAACATCAGCCCCTCAGCTGAATTTCCTGATGATCCCTCCCCTTTGGTCAGTACTGTATCTAAGTGTGTGCTTTCACTGTTGTATTTAATGTGAGATGACTGTGTTTGTGTAAGCTCTCTGAGATCAAGGTCAGTCTTATTTATCTTTGGGAGGTAGTATAACAAGGTAGTGACGAATTTAACCCGGAACTGCATGCTGATTCTGCTACTTGTTAAGTTTTGTGACCTTGGGTCTTAACCTATCTAAGTCTCAGTTTCTTCCTCAGGAAAAGAGAAATAACTTTATGTCCTAGTGAACGGACCTGAGAATTAAGTAATACACCTGAAGTACTAAGTATAGTGTCTATTGTGTAACAGATGGTAATTTCAGCCCCTAAGAGAAGTAGTGGCAGTATTCTCAGCACAATTACAGTGTCTGCATATGTAAGAATTCAATAAATGCCTGTTAAATTAAAATAAAAATCTGGCTGACTTCATATTACAATTATTGCTATCTTTTTTGTGCCCTGGTCCTAATCCACAAAGTTCAGCAAGCATAAGGGTCATCTTATGTCCCCGGCTCTCATTCACTATAGCCAAATCATCACCCAGTCCTGATTTCACCTACTAAATTCTCTCTAATCCTTTCACCTTTCACCTTCCCCAGGCTGCCACTCTAGTCTAAGCCTGGACCTTTACAACCTCATAATCAGTTTCCTACATCCACTCTGCAAGACTGTAATACTTTCTCTACTTGCCAAGTTAATATCCACACAGCTACCACTATCTGGATCATGTAACTTCACAGCTTACCACCCTCTGATGGTTTCCCATACTCCTAGGAAATACTAAAATACTTAACACGGCCAGCAAGGCACTACATGGTCTGGCCCCTGCTGACTTCCCTTCCTCCGGCTCCTAATTCCCAACCACACTGGACCTTTCTATTCCTACTCTTACCACAGGGCCTTACAAAAGGTCCGCCCAGCGCTGCTCCGACCCTGGCCGCTCCATCCCAAGACCGCAGCGGCGGCCTCAATGGAGCAGCGGGGACGCGCGGGTCAGGTCTATGGGGTCTTCAATTCCCAGTCAGTTATTACAAGGACCCTTTTGCCCTTAAGTACTTACAACTCATCCTTTACAGTTCAGCTTAAAATCATTTCCTAAAGGGAGCCTTCACAGATTTCAAAGACCAGATCCTACATCTCCTGTTTTCTGCTCTTAAAGCAGTTTTGATGAATGAGCACGTACTAATCAGGAATGATGGTAGCCACCCTAGTTCTTCTGATCACGCCCGTATCACCAGCACCAAACAATGGCTGCTTAAATATGTTAAATGTCTACCCACAAAAAAAGGAACAGTAAGGATTGTTCTAACAAACTTAAGAAACTACATTCGGTTAAAGTTTCTCTTCTATATAATCTCAAACATAAGAAAGAGCCTCATTTATCACAGCAATTCTTTGCACACCACCTTCGTAGACGGCCATCCGGCCGCAAATGGAGCTCCTCCAACGACAGAAACAGCATTAACGAAGCGCTAAATCGTGGAAAGACTTAGATATTGGCAGCACTTTAAATCTGACTAAAGCGGAGATGTGGATTAGAGAGCGGGGATTGACACTGGGCAGGGTGGAACAGGAATAACTTTTAAACACGGTGTCTGTTAAGGAAAGAAGTCCAACAGGCCTCACATAAACGGCATTAGAATGGAAAGAAGTCTCGGCTACAGGAAGCATTCCTGGAATTCACGCCTCATCCGGTCTTACGCGGCTCTCGCCCAAGGTCTAGAAGCGGGCAAGCCGGGCCGGAGCGGGGCCCCCGCAGCGCGATACCTGGAACTCGAGGGTACACTTGGTGCCGTGCGTGATGTCCTCGTAGAAACACTGCTTGGCGTTGTCGGGCAGCTCGAAGGTGATCTCGGAGGCGCCGCCGGGCCGCGGCGCCACCAGCAGCAGCGCGAGCAGCCCGCAGCCCCACTGGCACGCGGCGGCCGCCCAGCGCTGCGCGGACCCCGGCCGCCCCATCCCCGGACGGCTGCGGCGGCCTCGACGGAGCTCGGGACACGCGGGGCACGTCTGCGTGGACTCGGCGCGGCAGGCCTCGGCCCAGGCCGCCCGCGAAGACGCACGGCAGGGTCGCTCGGAGCCTCGGAGAGATTCGCGACGAGGGGTGAGTCACGGGGCGCGGGTGAGGGGCGCCGAGACACCCGGCCGGGGCCGCGGACGACCCAGGAAGCGGACACACAGCCGGCAGCAAACCGGCAACAAACAACCGGAAAAGGCCTGACCTGGCCGGAAGTGGGGGGCGACGTGTTGGGGAGAGGGGCGGGGCCTGAGGGCCCTGCTCCAGCGACCCGGATGTGCTCTCCCCGGGCCGCGGACAGAGGCGTTGGTGTACGTGTAAGCTTGCGAGGCGGCCTGCCCGCACGACCGCTCTCTCCGAGGGGCGGGGCCAGGAGAAGGGGTGTGGCCAGGCTCTGCCTCTGGGATGCCCGCGGTCGGACCTCGCAGCCGATGGAGAGTCAACTGAGCAGGCTTGGTTCCCGGGAGGGCTGATCCCCGGGGAGGCTTAGAGGAGGGTAACGAAGAACTCATTTTGCTCTGGACGGGGCAAAACACCGGTGGTAGAGCGTTGTGCAGTTAGCAGAGAGGTTTGTCATAAATAATAAATATTTGGGGGAAGCGGCTCAGCTAGGAGCGCCAATTCGGGCACCACCAGACTGCCCGAGTTTTAATCCCTGCTCTGCTACATACTGGCTGTGTGACCTTGAAGCTTAACCTCTCTGCTTTAGTCTGAATCTGTAAAATGATGACCATTTTGGAAAAACTACCTAGAAGAGTGATTATCATACAGTAAACACTAAATAAGCTTTTGTTATATATAAATAAACATCTAGTGAGCACTCATCAGGCACTGTGCTAGGCACATTACATATATTTTGTCTGTTGATTCTTAAAACAAACCTATAAGGTAGGTATTACGCTTATTTTAATGATGAGAAAATAGAGGATCCAAGAACTTAAGTTGCCTGTGATCACATCACTGGTTTATGGTGGAGTGTTTAAAAAATAACAGGCATTGATGTCTTAAATTATGCGTCTTCTTCTGCATGTAAACACGAATTAGGCATTCGTATAAATGACCCTGCTGAGGCTCGTGTTTTTTAACATGATCAACAGAGTGTGGTAGTATGAGAAGGAAGTAGAAACAAGTGTGTAGGAGCCAGGTGGGGTTGGGGGGCCGGGAGGGTGATAAACAGGGAGGTTCAGGACCCCTAGCATCCTGAGGTGCCCAAAACCTCCGAAGTGGGGTAAGGAGCTCTAGGAGATGAGATATGGGGAAGAATGCACCTTCTTGGTAACTGGGCCCCAAACAGAAGAATTGTGTTCATGAGTGGAAAGAAAAATGTATTTCAAAGTAGAAAATGTGGACTCTCTATTTTCTAACTCTTGACTTGTAGCAAGTAATATTTCTATGCCTCAGTTTCCTCATACGTAAAATGGCAATACAGACAGTGTGAATGAGTAAGACTAAAACCACTGGGCAGTACATTACACACCCCCAGATAGGCAAAATTTTTTAAATGCAACAATACTAGATATTGGTAAACATATAGAGCAACAAAATCCCTCACTCATAGTGGAAATGTAAATTGATACAATCACTTGGGAAAACAGTGTTGCATTATCTAAAAAGTAGTAAAATACGTATATGCCTAGAAATTCCATTTTGCCTGTATTTTAAAGTGTATGCTTTAGTGCATTGTTTCTTAAACTGCTCCAAAGACTCCCGGGAGCCTTTCAAACCCTTTCAGAGGGTCTGAGATTATTGTGTGAGGCTGGATTTTCATCATGTATCTCAGCCAAAACAACTAAAGGATTGAATGTAAAAGCAGATGAACACCCAACTTCTTATGAGTCTAGATATTAAAGAGATTTACAAAAATGTAAAGCATTGCCACTCATCTCAAAATTTTAATTTGAAAAGTACAGCTGTATTTCATTTAGAGATGTGTTATTTTTGTTAACATGTAGTCGGTTGAATTTTGCCCCCGTCCCCCAAAAAACATATCTCCTAGTATTAACTCCCAGTCCTTGTGGATTCCATCTGACCTGGAAAATAGGGTTTTTGCTGATATGATTACATTAAAGATCTCAAGCTGAGATCATCCTATGTTTAGGGCCCTAGATTCAGTGACTTGCTGTCTTTATAAGAGAAAGAAGAGAGAGATTTGAGGCACAAACGCAGACTCACAGGGAGAAAGCCATGTGAAGACAAAGCAGAAACGGAGAGATGTGTCTGTAAGCTCAGGAATTCCACGGACTGCCCACAAGCTGCCAGTGGCTATAGGAGAAAGGTACCTAGTGGAGTCTCTGGTAGAGCAACTGGAAGGAACCAACCCTGGCAACACTTTAATTTCAGACTTCTGGTCTCCCCAACTGTTGTTTTAAGCTACCACATTTGTGGCTTATTTGTTACAGCAGCCTCGGAACAAATACAACAGGTAGTGGGTTTATTATTGTTACTTTAAATGAGTTACTCAATGAATCTTTTTATGCATCTCGGGTCTCAATTGAAATTTTAATTAAATTTTTTTATTTATTAATTTATTTACATTTGTTTCCTGACTTTTAAGATTCTGGGATCAAAACTTGGAGAACCACTGCTTTAGAGAAACTCCCACACACGTATATCAGGATACATATATATGAATGCTTAAAGCCAAATCCTAGCAATAAGTCCCGTGCTGGAAATATCCCAAATATACATAAATTTTGTTATATTTATAAAAATGGGACAACATAGTGATGAAAATGAAAGATTTTAGCCGCACAGGACAATGTGGGAATCTTACAAACATAATGCAAAATAAGCTAGGCAAAAAATTCATACCCAACAGATAGGATGACAGAAAGCAAAACTAAACGGTACTGTTTTGCCTAATATCTAGTGAAACCATGCAAAGAAGCAAGGGAATCATGATTTCAAAAGTCAGGATGGTGGGGAAGGCTGAGGTAATAAGAGAAACATGGCGTGGGGGTTACTTCAGGAGCTAATTCAGCGCAGCAATGCTCTTTTCCTGACCTGGGGCATGGTTACATGTATTTACACATTGCAATTACCTGTTAAATTTATATATATCTTTTATATACTTTATGTATAATTTCACAGTAAAAGAAGGACAAATCACTATGTAAAAGTTGGGGTGGGGGTGAGGGAAGAATTGTGTTCATTTTTGCGATCACTCTACCCCACTGAATAAAGAGCGAAAGTGAATAAAACTAGATTCTTGTCCTTGCAGGATTCACAATCCAAAAAATAGACATTTAGCTCTGCTTCAGATTTTTAGTTGTTTTTTTTTTTCTTTGCCCAGAATTACTAACAAGAACCAGAGAGTCAACATGTGAAAAAGCTTTATAAAGTACACAAACTGATACAATCTTTATGTCAGGTATGCATTTGTACTAGAGACTACAAAATATCACAAGAGAAGAATAAACCATGATTTGTTCAGTTTATAGTGAACACAGCAATGGAAATTTTGACCCAAACTGTCTTTGAAGCTAGATAATCTCATACCCCTTCCTGATGTAGAGAGTGTAGTGAGGTGTATGATTGAGAAAATACCTAAAAATTGCTTGAGAGAGTAGAGACTTTATGCGTAATTCTCCTTCAAAAAGCTATTTAAAAAATTTTTTTTTCTTATTACTCTTATAGGGTCTCTTATTTTGATATGTTAGAATATTAGATCAAATAAGTAATCAGGTTAGAACCAACGTAAATATACAGAGTAGTTTCATAAGACAAAGTTTGGGAGAGGGGCAGGGAAGCTGCTGTGATCCTCGCGTCAGCATCAGATGCAGATCGGGGAAGCCCTGGGGTTAATTAAGCACTTGCCCATGCAGAGAGGAAGATGACAGTTTAGGCAGTACCTTGACACAAGGGTGTAGGGACCGGAAATGTCACATTGTCCCTATTTTACCTACAACCTGCATTATTATCTGAATCTGAGATATCCCCCAAAACCTGTTGGAGAGCAATTTAGGCACTAGAGTTAGCCCCTCTTCTATTATTTTTAGAGATAACCTAGGTGCTAGTATTTTACATGGGATAAATAACCATGCATTCCATATCCATACAAAAAATCCAAGCAGTTTTCCTAAGTATCATTAATAACACTGTTTGACTTCTATAACAATCCAGTAAGTATTCCACATGATTTAAGCACATGAAATACTAATCGTCCAATTATTTAACACCTAATCAATGGTAAGTTTGTATGAGGCCCTGAAGGAGATTATACAGTATGAGATGTGAATCATGTTTTCCTCCTACACTGCAATGAATATGCACTGTAACGTAAATAAACAAGGGCATACTATATTAAAGACACATAGTAACACAGGAAACTAAAATGTGATCCAAAAGGTGGCAGTGAACAAATAGGTACTTTCCAATCCCCTAAGTGAGGTTTAATGGTGGTCAGGAATGGGGACTGTGGTCTTGGTAGAGTTTGGTAGTGGGCAGAGTTTGAGACAGCGAGCTAGTAAAGATGGTAAGTGAGACAGTACATGCTGGAAGTTTGTCCAGGTCAGAGAATAGGTGGACGGTCTTCTCAGCTCTGCCATCCAGGCTCACTCAATGGCTGAGAAGCCTCACCTGAAGCAACAGGACAATAACCAAAATATCCAATAAAATAGCTCCTCAAAATGGTTAGCATTCCCTTATCTTACAGTTATACACCCCCTAATCATAATAAGAGTGTGTATGGAAATGCATTTTGAATGTGATAGTTCTGCTCATATAGTCATTTGCAACACCAGTCATTTCCTGTGCATGATCTAAAATATCTCAACACTTGGCACTGAGTATTCAGAATTGCTCTTCTTCCTCTTCCTCTTCTTCTGACGAATAGTAAGCATTAAGTTGAAAAAGTTTGTCTATTTCTTCAACACTTTCCCTATGTAACTCTAGCCGATATATATGTGAGTGTATGTATACATACACATAACTATAATCTTAGTAACGTGTGATTTTTTGCTTTGAGGTGGTACTTTCCCCAGAACACTTGTAGTCAGCAGCTAATTGGCAGAATTTCCAGAAGACTTTAATCTAATGTCTTAGTCCATTGGGCTGCTATAACAAACACCACAGATTGGGTGGCTTATAAACCACAGAAATTAATTTCCCACAGTTCTGGAGGCTGAGAAGTCCAAGGTCAAGGTGCCAGTATGGTTGCCTTCTGGTGAAGGCCCTTTTCCTGGGTCCTTCCTGTGTACAACTCCCACCTTCCCACATGCCCCTTTTTATAAGAGCATTAATCCTTGGTGAGGGCTCCATGTTCATGACCTAATCACCTCCCAAATGCCCCACCTCCTAATACCATCACTGTTGGAAGTTAGGATTTCAACATAGTTTTTTCTGTGGTTGCATCCTAACTGGGAAAGATCCAAATTAGGTCTGCAATGTGCTCTGCCTCCTCTCATCCAGGTGTGTAAGCTAACATACATATTTGGGCTGGCAGATGCTTGCAGATCCATCACAGTGGGCTTTGATTTAGAGTGAATTGGGATTGAAATTGCAGTCTGCAGATGGTGAGAATTCAGGAAGTACAGAATACTTGTATGTTTGCCCAGCTCCCATAGATTGCTCCCTGGAAAGGCTTGCCTAGCTCTGATATTTAAGAGGAGATCAAATGGGCACACTGACTTCTTATTCTTCACAGTGCCTCAGTCTGTTTGAAGACATAGACGTGGAGATATTTGCAAAGGACACATTTTCGAACTCTTATGAATACCCAACTCTGTGAGTACTTCCAGCATATAATTTTTCCACACTAGGCCATAAATTTAAACTTAAAACTTAAGAATTAATGTAACTTCTTCAGAATCTTGCTGAGAGTGACTGCATGATAGTGAGTAAAGAACAAACCCACTAGGAAACCCTGATGTTGGCCAGTCATGCAAATCATATTTGTGTTCTGAGGAAAGAACAGACTGTCCGAAGCCACTAGTCTTCAGAAGTCATTCATCAGTGGCTGCAATGGGAAACATGGGATTTGTGGAAGCTGGGAATCCACCCCACTATTCTGTCAGCTCATCAGCACTGTAGTCAGACCATAATTCGCCCTTCTCCAGAGAAATGTCTCAACACTGTAAAGATTTAAGGTTATAGGTGTAATATTATGAGGCTATATTTTATATATGCATTTGAAAAATATTTTTGTGTTTTAAGACACTGAACTTGAAGACAGCAACAAAACACACCAGCTTCCTTGAGAACACCAGTTTTGCATTTTCCGAAATGCAGGAAGCAACGGAAGTAGCTCCGCTTGTAAAAAGGCAGGTGGCCCTGTAAATATACTATATAGGCTTTCAAAAGGGTATCTTTCCTCCTCTTCAATTTTCTCACTGATGCCACCAACACCATACTGGCCGCCAGGGGGTGCTGCTTCCTTCCGAATATTCCTGCCCACGCACAAACAATCCATTGTTCCCTTTCCATCTGGGGAGCACAGCTGAAGTATTTAATCAAGACTTTGCTAAAGGTACCAGGATAACAAAAGGAAGATGAAAAGTGGCTAGTTAATGGATCCAACGCTTCTGGAATGTCGTGTTAACAGATTTGGACTTTTTCCCAGGGCAGTGCAGAACCACTGAAAAGTTTTAAGCATGAAAGAAGGTAATTAGAGTTGCACTGCAGAAAGAGCATTCTGGCTGCTGTATGAAAACTGAGTTAGAGAAGTGAAAATGTAGATACCAGGAGACCAATTGGAAGACTGTTACAGTAACCCAGATAAAAGATGGTGGTGATAAGAAATAAAATGGTGTGTTTGGTGATGACTGATGGGCACCCATTGGGATGGGTGTAAGATGGAGGAGGATGTAGAAAGAGAGCGACAGACAGAGAGGGAGAGAGAAAGAGATTTGATCGGCTGATTGATTTTCCCTGAGGGTGAGACAAGGTTTCCCTAACAGAAACCAAGTTACTCAGATATTCACAGACATCCTGGTAATGCCAGAGAAACTGGAGCAGCCTGGTGGTGGAGAGCACAGGGCAATTCCTTCCAGGAAAACTGTAAGGTGGCATTCTATAAATGAGCATCTCTGTTTTCTAGGCACTGTGCTAAGTGTTTGAAATACCAAGAAGTCAAGCATCCTTATTTTTATTATAATTTCCTCCTTAAAAAAATCACATCACAAAAAAATATTGTCCTCTCTTTGCTCCATTATTTGGCACATAAATAAATATTGGTTCAAGGATGCATGGATGGGTGGATGGAGAATAAGCATGATAATTGTTTGGATCTAGACCGATGCCCAGAACCCAGCTCCTTCCTTTTATATTGTTACATATGGAACAGTCTTATTTTAACCATTTGAAACTATTAGGATTACATGGCCATTTTCAAACAACTGTATTTATAGGTTACCCTTAATCAGATATGATCATCTTTCTCATAATAAGGATATCTCAGTTGGAAACAAAATCTCATCAAAAAACGCAAAGAAGCAGTTCCAGATAGGTAGTCCAGCAGGAAGCTAAGGAGAGGACCTTAGTTCTTTCGCACTGAGCTTAACTGGCAAGGCTTACAACATTCAATGTCCTATATAATATATTATCTAACTGGACAGCAAGCACTAATCACAGTGTCTTTTAGCTTAACACTGGCACTTGGAAAAGAACGTCAGCCATGGTCTTGCTGAATGAGGCAGACAATGCAGTACAATTAAGATGAGCCTAGTTAGAATATCCTTTGCAAACATCACTCTCCATGATACTCTAAATTACAAATTATTCTGGATTGTACTACTACATAAAATACATTAAACAAGAGGCAGAGCCAGGATGGCGGCATGAGTAGAGCAGTGGAAATCTCCTCCCAAAACCACATATATCTATGAAAATATAACAAAGACA